GTGAGAAGAAGGTGTAAGCCCCCCTTCTCTCCAGATTATGTTCTTGTCTAAACGGAGAAAGAGATGGGCAAGCCAAGAGGCCCTCTCCCTCCCACGGTCTATGGCGTCTATGCTTCTCTTCATGCCTAAAAAATGAGGAGATAGAGAGCCAGAGAGACAGGCTCAGGGGGGAGAGAAGAGGGAGGGGCAAGAACAAGGTAGGAAGAACATGGAAATTCCTCTTCTCTCTTCTCTTTTCGTCTTTCTTTTCCACAAGAAAGAACACTGACATGAACTTGAGAAGGGGGAAGCTAAGAGACCCTCTCTGTCCCACAGTCTATGCTTTTCTCTATGCCTCGCCCTGTCTCACTCCCTCTCTGCTTCAGCAAACCTCTTTTGTTGTAGCTCACCCTTATCCTCGTCTTCCAATTCTACAAGACATGCCGCCCAAAAAAAAGAAAGAGAGAGAGAGAGAGAGAGAGAGAGAGAGAGAGAGAGAGAGAGAGTAAGTGGACAAGAACCGCTGGGCCGTCGTGGCCGGGGGACCTCCATTGGGGGGACCCTCTTGAGCGTGGAGAAGAAGAAGAAGAAGAGAGTAAAGGTTTTAAAGGAATTTAAAGGCTTTAAAATCTCTAAAACGTTTAAAATCTAATTGGGGAGGTCCCCAATTGAATTTAAAGGGCACGGGCCCCTTTTAAAATCTTTAAAATCTTTAAAATTTAAGTGGACCTCCATTTAAATTTTAAAGGTTTTAAAGGTTTTAAAGCCTTTAAATTCCTTTAAAACCTTAAAAATCTAATTGGGGAGGTCCCCAATTAAATTTTAAAGGGGAGGGGCCCCCTTTAAAATCTTTAAAACCTTTAAAATCTTTAAAATTTAATTGGACCTCCATTTAAATTTTAAAGGTTTTAAAGGAATTTAAAGGCTTTAAAAACTTTAAAACCTTTAAAATTTAATTGAGCAGGCCCTCAACTAAATTTTAAAGGGGAGGGGCTCCTTTTAAAATCTTTAAAATCTTGAAAAATCTTTAAAATTTAATTGGGCCTCCATTTCAATTTTAAAGGTTTTAAAGGAACTTAAAGGCTTTAAAACCTTTAAAACCTTTAAAATCTAATTGGGGAGGTCCCCAATTAAATTTTAAAGGGGAGGGGCCCCCTTTAAAATCTTTAAAATCTTTAAAATCTTTAAAATTTAATTGGACCTCCATTCAAATTTTAAAGGTTTTAAAGGAATTTAAAGGCTTTAAAACCTTTAAAACCTTTAAAATCTAATTGGGGAGGCCCTCAATTAAATTTTAAAGCGCGCGGGCCCCCTTGAAAATCTTTAAAATCCTTAAAATTTAATTGGACCTCCATTTAAATTGTAAAGGTTTTAAAGGAATTCAAAGGCTTTAAAACCTTTAAAACCTTTAAAATCTAATTGGGGAGGTCCCCAATTGAATTTTAAAAGGCACGGGCCCCTTTAAAATCTTTAAAATCTTTAAAATCTTTAAAATCTTATTGGACCTCCATTGAAATTTTAAAGGTTTTAAAGGTTTTAAAGCTTTAAATTCCTTCAAAACCTTAAAAATCTAATTGGGGAGGTCCCCAATTAAATTTTAAAGGGGAGGGGCCCCCTTTAAAATCTTTAAAACCTTTAAAATCTTTAAAATTTAATTGGACCTCCATTTAAATTTTAAAGGTTTTAAAGGAATTTAAAGGCTTTAAAACCTTTAAAACCTTTAAAATTTAATTGAGCAGGCCCTCAATTAAATTTTGAAGGGGAGGGGCTCCTTTTAAAATCTTTAAAATCTTAAAACCCTTAAAATTTAATTGGGCCTCCATTTAAATTTTAAAGTTTTAAAGGAATTTAAAGGCTTTAAACCTTTAAAACCTTAAAAATCTAATTGCGGAGGTCCCCAATTAAATTTTAAAGGGGAGGGGCCCCCTTTAAAATCTTTAAAACCTTTAAAATTTAATTGGGCCTCCATTTAAATTTTAAAGGTTTTAAAGGAATTTAAAGGCTTTAAAACCTTTAAAACCTTTAAAATTTAATTGAGGAGGCCCTCAATTAAATTTTAAAGGGGAGGGGCTCCTTTTAAAATCTTTAAAATCTTTAAAATCTTTAAAATTTAATTGGGCCTCCATTTAAATTTTAAAGGTTTTAAAGGAATTTAAAGGCTTTAAAACCTTTAAAACCTTTAAAATTTAATTGAGGAGGCCCTCAATTAAATTTTAAAGGGGAGGGGCTCCTTTTAAAATCTTTAAAATCTTTAAAATTTAATTGGGCCTCCATTTAAATTTTAAAGGTTTTAAAGGAATTTAAAGGCTTTAAAACCTTCAAAACCTTTAAAATCTAATTGGGGAGGTCCCCAATTGAATTTTAAAGGGGAGGGGCCCCCTTTAAAATCTTTAAAACCTTTAAAATCTTTAAAATCTTTAAAATTTAATTGGACCTCCATTCAAATTTTAAAGGTTTTAAAGGAATTTAAAGGCTTTAAAACCTTTAAAACCTTTAAAATTTAATTGAGGAGGCCCTCAATTAAATTTTAAAGGGGAGGGGAAAATCTTTAAAATCTTTAAAATCTTGAAAATTTAATTGGGCCTCCATTTAAATTTTAAAGGTTTTAAAAGAATTTAAAGGCTTTAAAACCTTTAAAACCTTTAAAATCTAATTGGGGACGTCCCCAATTGAATTTTAAAGGGCACGGGCCCCTTTTAAAATCTTTAAAATCTTTACAATCTTTAAATTCTTTAAAATTTAATTGGGCCTCCATTTAAATTTTAAAGGAATTTAAAGGCTTTCAAACCTTTAGAACCTTTAAAATCTAATTGGGGAGTTGCCCAATTAAATTTTAAAGGGGAGGGGCCCCCTTTAAAATCTTTAAAACCTTTAAAATCTTTAAAAGCTTTAAAATTTAATTGGACCTCCATTTAAATTTTAAAGGTTTTAAAGGAATTTAAAGGCTTTAAAACCTTTAAAACCTTTAAAATTTAATTGAGGAGGCCCTCAATTAAAATCTAAAGGGGAGGGGCTCCTTTTAAAATCTTTAAAATCTTTAAGATCTTTAAAATCTTTAAAATTTAGTTGGGCCTCCATTTAAATTTTAAAGGTTTTAAAGGAATTTAAAGGCTTTAAAACCTTTAAAACCTTTAAAATCTAATTGGGGAGGTCCCCAATTGAATTTTAAAGGGGAGGGGCCCCCTTTAAAATCTTTAAAACCTTTAAAATCTTTAAAATCTTTAAAATTTAATTGGACCTCCATTTAAATTTTAAAGGTTTTAAAGGAATTTAAAGGCTTTAAAACCTTTAAAGCCTTTAAAATTTAATTGAGGAGGCCCTCAATTAAATTTTAAAGGGGAGGGGCTCCTTTTAAAATCTTTAAAATCTTTAAAATTTAATTGGGCCTCCATTTAAATTTTAAAGGTTTTAAAGGAATTTAAAGGCTTTAAAACCTTTAAAACCTTTAAAATCTAATTGGGGACGTCCCCAATTGAATTTTAAAGGGCACGGGCCCCTTTTAAAATCTTTAAAATCTTTAAAATCTTTAAAATTTAATTGGACCTCCATTTAAATTTTAAAGGTTTTAAAGGAATTGAAAGGCTTTAAAACATTTAAAACCTTTAAAATCAAATTGGGGAGGTCCCCAATTGAATTTTAAAGGGGAGGGGCCCCCTTTAAAATCTTTAAAACATTTAAAATCTTTGAAATCTTTAAAATTTAATTGGACCTCCATTTAAATTTTAAAGGTTTTAAAGGAATTTAAAGGCTTTAAAACCTTTAAATCCTTTAAAATTTCATTGGGGAGGCCCTCAATTAAATTTAAAGCGCGCGGGCCCCCTCGAAAATCTTTAAAACCTTTAAAATCATTAAAATCTTTAAAATCTTTAAAATTTAATTGGGCCTCCATTTAAATGTTAAATGTTTTAAAGGAATTTAAAGGCTTTAAAACCTTTAAAACCTTTAAAATCTAATTGGGGAGGTCCCCAATTGAATTTTAAAGGGCACGAGCCCCTTTTAAAGTCTTTAAAATCTTGAAATCTTTAAAATCTTTAAAATCTTTAAAATTTAATTGGACCTCCATTTAATTTTTTAAGGTTTTAAAGATTTTAAAGTCTTTAAATTCCTTTAAAACCTTTAAAATTTAATTGGAGGCCCAATTAAATTTTAAAGATTTTAAAGATTTTAAAAGGAGCCCCTCCCCTTTAAAATTCAATTGGGGACCTCCCGAATTAGATTTTAAAGGTTTTAAAGATTTTAAGGCCTTTAAATTCCTTTAAAACCTTTAAAATGTAAATGGAGGTCCAATTAAATTTTAAGGATTTTAAAGATTTTAAAGGTTTTAAAGATTTTAAAGGGGGGCCCTCCCCTTTAAAATTTAATTGGGGACCTCCCCAATTAGATTTTAAAGGCTTTAAAGGTTTTAAAGCCTCTAAATTCCTTTAAAACCTTTAAAATTTAAATGGAGGCCCAATTAGATTTTAAAGATTTTAAAGATTTTAAAGATTTTAAAAGGGGCCCGTGCCCTTTAAAATTCAATTGGGGACGTCCCCAATTAGATTTTAAAGGTTTTAAATGTTTTAAAGCCTTTAAATTCCTTTAAAACCTTTAAAATTTAAATGGAGGCCCAATTAAATTTCAAAGATTTTAAAGATTTTAAAGATTTTAAAGGGGGGCCCTCCCCTTTAAAATTTAATTGGGGACCTCCCCAATTAGATTTTAAAGGTTTTAAAGGTTTTAAAGCCTTTAACTGGAGGCCCAATTAGACTTTAAAGATTTTAAAAGGAGCCCCTCCCCTTTAAAATTTTAATTGAGGGCCTCCCCAACTAAATTTTAAAGGTTTTAAAGATTTTAAAGCCTTTAGTTTCCTTCAAAAAGCTTTAAAATTTAAATATGGTGTGCAGCATTTAAAATATAATAGGAAAAAGACGATTGCCAAATAGTACAGAAAGGTCCTTCGTACATACTCCTGAAGCCCTCACCTGGAATTCTGTGGCCTAGCGGCCTCCTGGCGGCGTCGGTCCTTAGCCTCGGCTTCGCAGGCTCCCGTGGCTCCCGCGGCTGTGCGCCCAATGTCCTGGGAGGCCGCCTTCATGAACTTTGCGACTGGGCCTTGAAAGCTTGAAAGCTTCACTCCCAAAATCGAACATCTGAATTCTTCTGAGGGTTTTGGTTGAAAGGCAGAGGTTTGGACTTGGGAACTTGGCATAGTCTCGCTATCGCCTTCGTTAGTACCTCTTGCAAGGTCTTCTGCCAAGGAGGGACCCCAAAATCTCCCCCGTGGTTGTGTAGATGGAGTTCAGAGGGGGACTGTGTGTTGTGAGCGTCGGATCCGAAAGCTTTTCAAACAAACAAACGGCTGGCATGGGCTCTAAGAGCGTCGAACTGTGCAAGACCCCAAACCCTAGTCCCTAGTCAAACATAGTCAAACCCCAGGCATTTCTTCACAGTTCCCGTCTCTCAGCAAATTTTGCCCAAGCTAAGGCCAGCTGTGCTTCTTGGCGTCGAGATGATTTTGCTTCTCCAAACAGCGCTTGCATATCTTGCATGCGCTTGAACAATGAAGAGCCAGAAAGGATCCTTTGCATTCGGATCAGTTTCGGATCTACAGGGAATTCGATCGCTGAGACCCCAAGGCGCGCACGCGCAGGGGATTCGGCATTCATACGCCAGAGGAAAGACACAAAGGGCCCAACATCACAAAAGGCAAAAGGCAATGTAGCAAGCATAGCCGACATACTCATACGAGATCAACAGGCGAAGTGCAGGCTCACGACCATGCGACTGCAGCAGCATCGAAGTGCGACGAAAAACTCCTGATCAGCATGACCTTATGTCGTGCCGGCAGAGCAGAACCCCTCCGCGCCCAAAGGGCCCAGCAACATCTATACTCGAAATTTTCCGATCCCTGGATGCAGGCGCGAAGCATACACACGCAGAGAGGTGGAGTGTCCACCGTGTGTTTTGAAATGCTTTTGAAGTGGTCTTACACTGGTGCTTACGCCGGCACGCCTGGGCAATGTTCCAGACTTTGCGGCGTGTTCAGAGGCAGACAGGCACACCAAGTCCCAGCTGATGCGAGCCCTG